GACCTGATTGGTCCACGTGACGCATTCCGATTGGTGGGAGCAAAATCCCCTAATCAGAGCTTAGTTTGGAAAAATTTCCGAATGTCTAACCAACAAAGTTCACTATTTAATTCTAATTTTTTTTTAAAAAAAAAACAAAAAAGAAATTCCAAAAAACAAAAAAGAAATTCCCAAAATCACTATTTATATTTTTGGAAAATTTTGAGTCATTCTCACTTTAAAAGTTAAAACGTTAGCCGCATTTTGTAAAAATGTGAATGTACTATAGTTATTATTGATATGTTGTCAATTACACTATTTACAAAATATTTTATTTTTATGACTAATGGATTGAGAAAAAAATTGTCATATCGGCCTTGTATTACTGTTTCGTAAAAGAAGTTCATGCATAATCTGACTCACTTGTCGTGTCATACAACTATACAAGCATGTCTCTTAATAATTTTTATTTCTTTTTATAAGTTGTTCAAATATTAACGGATGCAATCTAACTCGTGGTGCTTTTGCAAAAATTGAAGAGGATGTACATATGTACCATCCATGGCCCACCTTCATGTCTCTTAACTTCTTAAGACACGTTTTTCATGTGACTAGTATTGTCAAAACGGTTTGACAGTTCGGTTTTGGTTAGGTTTGAAATTGGGTCGGTTTGAAATCGGTTCAAGTGTCTTACTGGTCGGTTTCAGTTCGGTTTAAATAATTATCGGTTCGATTCGATTTCGGTTTATTCTTGAGCGGTTTAAATTCGGTTCGAGTTGTAAACAGTCCGGGTAGTAAACGAGTTGCTGTTTGTCAACGGTTCGGTGTAAACGGTTTTTCTCCCGGTTCAAACGGTTTCGGGTTAGAAACGATTCGATTCTTTTTTGGTTCAGTTTTATTTTAGTTTGGTTTATAACTGGTTCGTTCGTTAACAGGTTCGGTTCTTCTACGATTTAACATTATTCGGAACGGTTTTATTTCAGGTTTACTAAATTACGGTTCGGGTCTGTTTTTTATTTCAAAAAATCGGTTTTTTATCGAGTCGTTTGGATTAGGGCAATTAAACGGTTTTGGTTTAAAATTTGATAGTAATTTCTAACTTTTTGCTGGTTAACAAGTTTTATATCAACCCGAGACTTCACCACTTCATATTTAGGCATCATATTATATACAAATTGTCATAAATTTTATAAATACATATCATGTTATGTTTCAAGTTTAGCCATACTGATCTTACTAGTTTATTACGAAGTAGATTATAAAAGTTTAGTGCATTAATGTATTATTGTTTTACTGTCAGATTATTATCTGCTTCTTATTTGATCATTTAATTAATAGTGTCATAATCATGATTTGATGAGTTGTTGTGATATCGAAATTTGCAATTTGGTATTCGATACTTAATTAGTCAACAAGACTGATAATTAAGACTTGTTTATTATTATATATTTGCATAAAGTTATATATGAAGATATTACAAAGTAGTTTGATTTGTATAATGAAAGAAAACATTAATGATTAAGAAGATAATATTGATTCTTTCAATCGATTATACATACACATAACATCTAACCATCTCATATTATCATAGTTAAATATTTATTAGTATAAAGTTATGTATTAGTAACATTATTTTGACTGGATCAATAATTTGAGTTGTAGTCTTAAGATTAGCTAAATATCATTGTTCGTGTAGTTCAAAGTATAATGATCTACACCGTCACCAGCTTTTATTTTAATACTCTCTTTGTCCCTTTATTTTTGCCTCATTATCATTTTGTGGTCAAAATTTGAAAACGTTGACTATAAATTACCATTAATCTATAAAACATCATTTAGTCATGAGTGGTCTTGTTAAATTTGTCTCATTATATATTTTATTAATATCACGTTTTTATAATTTTTACATGTACTGTATGAAAATAAAGATATAGACATTTTATTTTTTTAATACACGTCTTAGAGACCGTGCCCGATCAAATGGGGCAAAAAAATAGCAATAGAGAGAGTACTTTATTTGTAGATATGAATATACAACACACAAAACATCATCTACTCTCAACCATAGATTAAAAACATTCTACGGTTAACTTCTTCCTCCCACAACACACACGGATCACCGAAAATAATCTCTAAACAGAAACCCTAACTCACTCTTACTCTCTAATCTCAGCCTTCTCATAATCTCTCTTCTCTTTCTCTCTCTTCATCCATTCTCTTCTCCTTCTGTATCTCTCTTCATCCATTCTCTTCTCCTTCTCTATCTTCATCCGAAAGCTTCAATTCATCCAGAAAATTCGAATTTGAACTTCTCTTCTCTGATTTTTGTTCTTTATATTCGAATAATCCTTTTTTAATTCATCCGGAAAGCTCCTCTTTCTCTCTCTTCACGCGAGCAAGTCAGCAATGTCACGTGAGTAAGCTAGCCACCGTCACTGTCACAGCAAGCCCGGCCGACCACCGTCTATTGTTGAGGTTTTTTGTACTTTAGATCTAGTTTAAATACAGATTAAATTTAGGTTAGATTGTAGATCTAGTTTTTTTTTTCTCAAATTTCTGATTATAATTATTTTTTGATGAAATTATAATGTAAGTATATAAATTTTGTTAGTGATAATTGCCTATACTTCATCCATCTAGTTGTTCTGATTTTTTACATTTTTTTTTTCTGATTTTTTTTTTTTTTTTTGCTTGCGATTTTTTTGTATTATTTTCTGGGTTTTTTGTTTGAATTTTTTTTTGGGTTTTATGTTTGATAGATTCTGAAGAATTCAAAGAATGTTGTGTATAATATGTTAATTGTATTTTGACGAATTTGTTTGTGGTTGAAGTTTGTTTGTAAAATATGATTTTTGAGTATTAGTGGGCATTTAAGTCCAGTGGGTTTTGAATTAGCCGATGACATACCCTCAAATTAGAATGATTTTAATGGCTATCTTTTCTTCTTCTTAAGAGAGGGATGTCTCTCCAAAGCGGCCCGCTTTTATGATCAGGTAATACAATTTTAGAGAAAGTTGCATTTCCAAAGGTCACAAATCTCCATATAATTACATAAAAAAAGTGTACCAAAAAAAAATTATAATTACATATAAAAAAAGTTGGGGAAAATAATTAATAAACATGTGTGCATAATAATTATGTTAAAAAAAAAAAAAAAACACATGTATGCATAATTAGATTTCATTTAAAATACCTTTTAACTTGGTTTTAATCTTTTCTTTATAGTATGTAAGCGGTTTGTAAACGGTTCGATTTATAAGCGGTTCGGTTTATAATCAGTTCGGTTTATAAACGGTGCGGTGCAAATGGGTTGCAGTTTGTTAACGGTTAGGTGTAAACGGTTTTTATGCCAATTTAAACGGTTTTGGGTTAGAAACGGTTCGATTCATTTTTGGTTCGGTTTTCTTTCAGTTCGGTTTACATTTGGTTCGGTTCTTAAATGGTTTAACGTTACTCGGATTGGTTCGGTTTCGGGTTTACTAAAATGCGGTTCAGGTCGGTTTTCGGTTTCAAAAAATTGATTTTTAATCGGTTCGGTTTTCATTTAAAGCGGTTGGATTCGAGCAGTTAAACGGTTTCGATTTGAAATTTGACAGTGATACATGTGGCAATTGGCGAGCTCATATTGCCATATTGGGGCCATTTCGTGTCATGCTTAATTGGCTAATATTAACCAACGCATGCCCAACTCAATCAATTACTTCATATAACTTTACTGTCACATTGATTACATTTTAGCTCTACTAAAACTATTTCGTCCCAATAAAGCAAACAAAAAAGATAGTCAAAGAAAATGAGGAGAGAGAGTAATATCGCATGGCAATTACATAGCCAGGTTGGATAAGAAGATGACGTGGATGGATCCCATTATTGAGTAATGAGTATTGAGTACAGTTGGATAATTCTTCTATTTATGCGTTGACTTGTTCAAATTACTCGTCTATCTATTACACTTTACAGTTACACTACCAGTATTTTATATTCGACGAGTAACACGCCCCTAATTAAAAATGAGAGTTAATTATAAGTATAATTGACGGAGTGGCCGTCTCACCGTTTGGACTTGTGGCCGGGGGACGTGTGGACTACTACCATGACGTCAGCTGCTTAAACATATGTGGGCCTTATATTTAAAGCAACCCAATCTCCAAACAAACAAATATTTGAAGTGAATGTGAATCATATGCTAAATTTTACATAATTTATACTTCATTTAATAGCTTGTCATGCCACATCATCTTTTTAAGGTACAACAATTTCAGCTATTTGTTGCTCTAATGGTTAAGCTAGTTATAAATTAATTTATTTTTAAATTAATAATAATTTTTATCTAATAAGTATTTACCAAACTAATTAGCTCTGTTGCTAAAGCTAATCAACAAGATGTGCAACAATGGTATAGCTACTAGCTTAAGATTTTTAGTAATATTTACAAGCTAGTCCCTTTTTCCAACTATTAGAGTTGCTATAAGCGATTTTGTTTCCACTACGTTTAATAAAAATCAACTAGCATTATTAAAGATAGTTGGTGGGAAATTTTAATGTTTAAAAAATAATTAGTGGTAACATAAAAATAAAAATTAGATGGTTATTGTCAAAATTTCCAAACTTTTTAATGTCAAGCTTTTATAGAATTAATTCAAAAATAAAGTGATTTAGATGAATTGGTAAAGGAACTAGAACCCCTCACAGATCAACCCCACTTGAATTAATGGGATAGACAATTTGGGAGAGCGGGGAAAAGATAAAGAAATCCCATTCCTCAAATTGTCACTAGTGGAAAATTGGGAAATGAACTTCCAACCTTTTGATTGAAAAGTGCTCTTCTTTTCCCTAAACCAAGTTTAGTTTGGTAACTCATAATAAAATATAAATGTATTTGCATGCATAGAAATATACCAAACTAAATATGACTTGACTCTAACCGAACAAAACATACAAATAACCGACTTGACCTGACCCAAACTAATCTGAACCAACATCTCAAATTGGCAGGTTGCAATTGGACTCAGGAGGTCAACTTGAAACTGATTTGAGTTCTAATAGATTTAGGTTAGATAAGTTTGATAAATCAAAGGCTGCATAAGAAACACCATCCTCGAAAATTTTGGGAACTTGTTATATTAACAAGTTTGCTTGTTCTTTTCATTTTTTTTTACACAAAAAAATTAGCCTTGATTCATTTTCACGGAGATCCCAAAAAAAAGGACTGATAATTGAACTGCAACTTCATAAGATGCACTTCTTCCATCATTGCCAAACAATACTTGTTGAAGCATGAACTTCTTCAAGTGTTCTTCCCTTTGTCTCCGGAACCAATTTCGCCACGAAAACCAGTGTAAATGCACTGATACCCGCCATTATGAAAAACGTTCTTGAAATCCAAATGCAGATTATATATATATTTGTGTGAATATAAATATATTTTGTAAAGCTAACGAAAATTTAGAAATTAGTCTGATCGAAAGCAAATTTAATTTACCTGAAGAACTCCATTCCATAAGAAAGTTAAAAGTGTAAGAAACAATCCATCCTGCTAAACATGCTACTATGGAACAAATACTTCCTGCTAATCCTTGTACGTTTCCCGGGTATATCTGAAAGTAAGATTTTTAAGTTAATTAATCCATTATTTGTTACTAATCATGCAATTGTTACTAATTATGGACTTTAGATATTTCCCTGCATCATTATACTGAAAGTTGCCATACCTCTGAAACTTTAACTGAAGCCGCACCACCCATGCCTACTGGATATGAAACAAAATAAATCTGCATTCAATGAACAAATCTCAGCATAACTTATACAATTCTGTTAGTGGACCAACTCAATCAAAACCCGTGACCTTTGTGTTACGCTGACTCCGATGTCATATTAAAAGACCAACTCAACCAAAAGCTTAAGCTTGTGGTTGAAGCCCAGGAATATATTTTATACTATATCAAAAGGTAATGTAAGATTTTGCATTTGTGTGTTAAAATGTTGCAATTGAAAGTCTTTGGTTCTATGGAACATTATTAATTTGAAATTTGAGAAACTAGAATTAAAAGGCGTCCCTAAAATTGTCTATGTGCCACGTGTATAACCATGTTAGCTAGAAATAAGCCATGCTATATTAATCCACATTTATATACAAAAACATATAAATATTAGAGTATAAAAACCAAACATATAAATATTAGAGTATAAAAACCATAAAAAAAAAAAAAAAACTAAATTAAGTTATTGTGTCAATTGCATTCTAATTAACTCACAATAAAAAATAAAAAAATAAAAAAAAATAAAAAAAAAAAGAAAGTTTTTTAAACCATCTAATTAACCGTGAAATGTGTAAGCATATTTCTTCTGAAATAGTTGTAGGAAACTAACTTTTTCCATTTGATGAAGGGCTTCAATACTCTCCTTTACACAAATCAAAAAGTGAATTTCATTAGATTTCATACAATAAGTTCTTCCGAGGGATGTCAATCATTGAACTATAGAATCCAGGGATTGCACTTTACCCTTAAGTCAGCTGCTTCGTTCACGACAGAACCTCCTCTAAGTCGCTGTAAGGCTGTTTCAAATGCATTGGTTTTACTCTTCATCAACTGCAAAACAAATATTTACTCTGTCTGAGAACTGATGAATTACTAGCAAGAACTTGGTTTGTAAATGCATTACCAGCCACCTAGGAGATTCTGGAATGAAGAATAGACCAACTATCTGTACAAGACTCGGAATAGTTCCTGAAACATTGGTAATATGGCATCAGAGACTTCTGAAGACTCCAAGAACTGAAATCAGATACATCAAGAAACACTACATCAATTACCAATCAGAGCTTAAGTACGCCAAGAGGTGACTAGTCCAATGATGATCCAACTGCTGTCATTAACTAAACCAGGATAATAACAAGGTAAGTAATCCAAGCAGAAGTACTAATAAATGCAAGTATAAACAAGAATTGTACTGATTTTTATCAGAGTACCCCATGGAGGCTTACAAACCCTCCTCGAAGATCTTTTGGTGCAAATTCAGCTATATATACCGGAACCTGAGACAGGCAACAGAAATGTAGGAAATATATTATTAAGTTTATAAGTTGATGCTCAAAGTTAAGATGCAGGATTCTGTGCTTACAACATAATTTCCAATGATCATTGAAAAACCCAGCAGCCAACGACCCAAGTTGAGCAACTAAGCACTCTTTGATCAGGAAATCAGACAATCAAACTAATTACAACTTAATAAGAAAATTGATTTAGATCAAAGTAAAAGAGGCAAGCCAAATGGAAGAACCTGGCCTGTTGCTATAGATAACCATCCGAAGATATAATTAAGACAGTTAGTCTTAGGACCTGCCTCATAGAATGCCAAAAGAAGTGGAATTTAGATACAGGACTAATGTAATCCAAAGTTGAAATCAACCATACAAATTTTAAGACTAATACGATTTAACTTACATGTTTTCGACCTAAATAGTCTGCTAACCTGCCACATACTATAGCCCCAAATATCCCTCCAAAATTAAGCATTGATCCAAAGAGTGAATACTGCACAAAATCGTTTAGTATATAGTTACACAAAACAGAAATGCTGTAGCAGAATAGTGTAAGTTGTCGAAGCCAAGAATGATCAACTAGGTAATTAAAGGATGAAGAAGTGCATACATCTGCTGTTGAAAGGTCAAGTTCCTTCATGATTTGAGCTTGCACTGGTGATGAATATGCCATCTGCATTATGTTATAAGGTCAAGTTCCTTCCTAATTTAATTTTGCTTAATATTTTCCACTTTTAGCTTCTTATGTGCCACCCTAAAGATTGTATTCTTTTTCCATCAATTACTACTAAATATAAAGATCAAACATAGGCGGCCTTGTTTGGTAACATTTAACAAGTTGTTAGTTGTTACTCTCTCCGTCTTTTTTAGCTCTTGCGGTTTTGAGCATGTTTACCAATTATCAATATTTATATTTGATTATTATTATCTCTAATTATATACATATATTATTAACATTTATAAATAAAAAAAATCTTACAGCATTAGTTGTTATCTGATTGAATGTAATAATAATTGGTTTGACTTGCTATATATACGTATTAACCATTTATATAAAAATGATTGGTAAGCTTGTAGTTTTTTAAATGTAATAAAATGACAATAACACAATATATTGTAGTGCTTTTTATATATAGATAAATAAAATGTATATAGTGTATCATTGGAAATCAGTTACATTAATAATGAATGAAAATTTTAGTGACATTGAGATACTTAGCTCACACCATTTAAAATTTTAATTAACAAGGGGAAAAAAAGTTTATTATTTTAACAACACCAATTCATTTTTTTTTTATTTTTTTTTTTGACAATACTAAATTCAGTTTTAAAATATACTTGAATTTGTTTAATAATATACTTTTTTTTTTAAAAAAAAAAACCTTTAAAAAAATTCAAAAATATTGATCTACATACCCACTATTAGCCTTTACCATTTCCTAGAGCATCAACTTTCTAAGAAAATAAATTAAAAGGCAAAAAGTAAAAGAATTGTGCATTTTTAACTCAACTACCCACACCACCATCCTGGACTCCTTAACAAAAACAAAACAATATTAATCCTCAGATCTAATGCTCCTACAGTGCTACTTCCATCTACGAAAACCGATATTGATTGTCTCATCGAACAAAGTTTTTTTGTTTTACAAAAATAAGACAAATTTGTGCACATGGCTGGTTTGCAAGTGGGGTTGAATGGTGATTGATGAGAAAGGAAGGCGAAAAAAAAAAAAAAAATTGAAGTTAGTGGGAAAAATCACCAAAATACGAAGTATGGAGCAATTGTTACACACCAACCCAGCCAAAAACTTAAGCTAATAGTTAAAGTTCATAATTGGCTTATATACTCTTAAGCAATTAAACCGTCTTAAAGGAATATTCCAAACAGAAATATGGGACAAACAAAATAGAGAAAGCGGGAGTATTCAACGTGGAGATTAATTTCCACATTTGGAGCAAGTATAACAAATCACAAGTCTCAAATGATCAAAAATTCAAGACATACATACATAACATTCAAACATCTTCTTTATATAGAATAAATTTCCAATTAGAATTTTGATCTAGAATCAAATAAATATAAGTTGGGATAAAAAGATTACAGTATAACAACAGGAAAATGAACCCAAGACGGCAACAAACACGGAGAGAAGCAGCGTAGGAGTGATAGACGACGACGACGACAATGCTGCAGCTGGCCATGGTTTTAATTTACATCAACTTCATTTAGTTTACGCTGATGATTAGTATTGGTAGCATTAAGGAGGAGTTGGACTCTTAATTCTTCCTTCATTGTTGATACTTTTGCTTTTGCTTCTCCTCCAACTGTATAAATTAAGCTAAAGAGACGTAGGTTGGTTTAGACTTTAGACTGGTTTGCTAAGCTAAGAGCATCTCCAATGCGTATTATAGTTTGCTTTGCCACGTTAATTAATATATCCCCTCCGTCACACAATACAAAGCCTATTTGAGTTTTTTCACGAGAATTAACGAGATTGTAAATTCCTTAAAACTAAAGATTGAGATTACATATGTGCATGTGGGATTAGAGAGAGATTGAAAGAATTAAAAATAATGTAGTTGTGAATTATTGAAGAGAATAAGAGAGAGTGTTGGAAATTGATATCTTTTAATCATGATGTATAAAAAGAAAATGAAAAAAAAATGACAACTCATCAAAAAAATTGTAATATTATCAAAAGTACTGCTCCGTACCTTTTAATCGAAATAGGCTTTGTTTTAATACTTGCAACACTTTCCTAAAATAGAAATGTCACAATACTTATAACACACTATAATTGGAAAATTATTTTGGGAAAAAATTGTACTATTTCCCTTATTTAAAGCACATGACCCACTAATTAGACTCCGAACAATCTCTCACCCCATTTTAAAGTGTATTAAATCATGTAAACCTCACTTTTCTTAAAATACCGTGATAAAGTGTGTGTTGCAACTATTAAAAAACGGGGGAAACTAAGTACGATACAAGTAAATAATAAAAGAAAATCTCCAAAAAAAAGAAAGTGATGACCTAATACCCCGGCCCTAAAAAATAGAGGGAATACTTTCTAAATTACAAAGTATTCCAATAATCAGCTATAATATATTGTACCTTTTTTTTTTAGAACAAGCACATATCTTAGTTGACACATGCACATATGTACTCTCAATGATAAGATAGAAATATATATATATATATATATATATATATATATATATATATATATATATATATATATGTATTAATGAGGCTATATCAGTAAATTTGTTATATATTTCCAACTTATTCTTATGATTAGCCAAACATGGAAATTACTCTAAATTCTCAATCCCATTCCTATTGTCGAATTCCTAAATTCTCATTCCCACTTGCCAAACGCCTTATTAGATTAAGTGGGTTGACATGTCTTTCCTTTTCCTTTTTTTTTTATTTTTTTTTTATTTTTTGAGGAAGGGTTGACACATCTTAGTTGACACAACCGGATCAAAGGGACTAGCTATAATATTGTTTTGTAGTCTTAGAGATTTCATTGACAAAAGTCATTAATGGTTTTTTTTTATTTTTTTTATTTTTTTAGGGAAATTCATTTGAGACTAGTTTAGTTTGAGAATAATTGTAGAAGAGCAACTTTCTTTTCCTTGAATTGCATACTTCAAGTTCGGTAGAGGTTTTTTTTTTTAATTTTAATTTTATTGTATGTAGGATATGTGATATGTTTACGTGAGATGTTCGAATCATCCAAATTAAGGGTTGTTTAAAATCGATTCTAGAATTCACATAAGTGAAAGTAGCAAACCTCAAAGTTGAAGGGCTAATAAGAAGTATAAAGCATTGCCACAATTTCCATCCACCTCTATTTCCATTCTCATATTTCTCAATGCTCATTATTTTTCCATTACTCATATCCTTATCAATTTTCAAACTTATATCAAATATCACGTTTCTATTCTCAAAAGTCAAGTCCGTTCACATAATCATTATCATTATTAGATTTATTCACTTCCAATTATGAATACTCATTGAATATGGAGCATTATCATAATTTAGCTGTAAATTTTTCTTAGGAAAAACTGGCCGCAACAACACTAACTATGATAAAGATAGATACGCGTAGCAACACAATCTTTCAAGAGTGTGGTTCACATCACAAATTATGTATTTGGGTGCGCATAACAGCATAAATAACACCAACGAACTAAAATTTCATGGGAAAAGCTAAGTGGAATCTTCTATAGAACTTTGTAGAGAGAGAGTGAAAAATGTAGAGAGAAGATTTTATTTAAGAAAATTGTAGAAATGAATCTTACCACTATCATTATGAGAGTACACTATTTATAGGGGAGTTAGTTACAACTAACTAACTTTAAAAAAAAAAAAAATCTAATATCTTCATTATTTTTTATTGATTTTAATATTTTTTTATACTTACATGATTTTTCATCACGCATGACTAATAAGTTAGTATTACCTTCCCTTCTACTAATTATTTTCAATTAAACACTTCTTAACCTCCACCACCATCAAAGTGGATTCCTTCTAAAAAAAAATTCACTTTTATTTTATTTCGTTCGCTTTTTCAATTACTTTTTTTTTTTTTAATATCGACCTCACGTGATTGACTTAGTTTCCTCTCCCTCTCCACTTGGTCAAATACTGAAAAATTGATAAATAAAAGAAAATCATGTAAAAACCATTTCATTCCACCAAATTTCAAGATACATAATTCACTTTCTAATACCAAGCCCCACAAAATCCTTCAAAATACTAAATTCAAACAACAATTTTAGAATTGGATTTTAGAATAGGCCAAATTGATTTTCTGGTTTTTGATGTACAACAATTTAATTGCAGAGGTTGAGAGAATTAATAATTTAAAGGGAGAAAATTAAATAAAGTGGAAGAGTAAACTAAGTCAACCACGTGAGGTGTAAAAAAAACAAAAAATAGAGAAAGAAATTGGAGAAGCAAATGAAGGAAATTAATGGCGAAAACTTTTAGTGGTAGATCGAGGTTGAAAAAGTTTTTATAGGAAAACAATAAATGGAAGAGAAGATTACTTAGTCATATGAGATTGATGGAAAATCAAGTAGGATAGAATTAAACAAATATTAAAAAAAAATAATGTAGTTAACAAACATTAAAATGTTAAAAATTCCACATTCCGTGAAATCTTAGTTTTGCTGGTGTCATTTATGTTATTATATGCACCCAAGTGCATAGTTTATGTATGTGAAATGCATCCTTGAAAGGTTGTGCTGCTACATGTACCTTTGTTGGAGCTGTTGCGGCCAATATTTCCTTTTCTTAATATTGGAATCTAAAAGTTGAATCTAAATACACTCATAGAATTAAGCAATATATTTAGAATGTAGTCCAATATAAATCTAATTACTCCTCTACCCTATTTAGTTGATCTAAGATTTTAAGATGTTGGTAATTGGTTCAAAAGATAAGAGACGACCAATATAAATCTAATCATTTTCTTTTCTTTTCTTTTCTTTCTTTTTTACAAATTAAATTTGAACTATACTTGCTTGGTGATGAAAGTAATTGAACTTTAGCTAAATAGAAGTACATGTTGACATATGAACTTCTTCAAGAGTCCTTCCCTTTGTCTCTGGCACCAGCTTTGCCACAAATATCAGTGTAAACACACAGACACCCGCTAACACGAAAAATGTCCCTAGACAATGCAGGTGATCTTATTGAGTGAACGTCGTAAGGTAAAGAAATGATTAGTAAATAATAACGAAAAGGGGATGGAGCATTTACCTGAGGAACTCCATTCCATAGAAAAGTTAAAAGCATACGAAACAATCCATGATGATAGGTTCGTAACTACAGCAGCAATACTGCCAGCTGACCATTTTATGTTCAGGGGAAATATCTGAAAGTAGCATTTACTTAACTTATTAGTCCATAAATCCATATTATTACTAACCACTATTAATTCAAACCTGGAAATAATCATACCTCGGAAATAATTATAGCAGATCCTCCACCTATACCTATTGGATATAAAGCAACGTATATCTGCAGAAGTAAGTTCTCTATCAGACTTTACCAACTACGCGCTCTTAATAAGAAATACAGTTCATTAGTCCATGATCTATCTTAGATATAAAGTTTAAGATTATACGCCTATAAGGTAGTGGCAATCATATTAGCGAGTCATTTTGTGAGTAATGACCATAAGATGCGCCTGATTTATTGATTAGAAACACACAACAACAGCAACAGCAATAACAAAGCAAATTCAGTGCTTTGAGTTACCAGTATGCCAATAAGCGCGATGTAAGGACTGAAGTCACCCAGCAAGTGATGGTCCTGAGTGAGATAAGCAATAAAAAAAAAAGTAAATCATAATGGTAAAAACACTGAGAAATTTTGGCAATGAAAGCAAGTAGTGATAACAAACCTCAAACAGAAATGCGAGCCCTGTTAGTGAACAACCTAAGCAAAGACCGGCTGCTGAAACCTGCAAGTCATGAGCTCATGATCTTGATGATCAATTAATACAAAACTTGATACATAGTTCACTATCCTAACCATAATAAGAGGCCGCCTCCCACATTTATCCATCAAAATTATACCGAAAGCCACACTTAGGAGCTGCAAACAGAAGATTATTTGTTACTTTCGGATTTACATCAGTTACTAATACTTTTATTAGTAGCTAAAATCTATCAAAGTTGAAGTACCTGGAATAAGGCCAGTGCCATAGTTCCTAGTTTTACTGAAAATCCTGCTCAAAACCAACAGAATAAACCTTCAATGCTTAACTTATTCTGTCTTAAATACACTATCCGTCCCAGCATAGTTAACTTCCCACTTCTAAGCGAAATGGAACATGACAATGGATAGTGAAAGAAGCAGTGAGAGAAATTATTGGCTGAATTGAGAGAGAAAAAAGCAGTAACATAAATTTTTTTCTTAGTGCATTCTTTAAGTGTTGGTGGGAAGTCAAAATGGGATGTAAGATGGAGATTTAGTTTTTAGATTATTATGAAGCTTTTAGTGGATAGCTAACCAGCTGAATCGAAGATAGAACTGGCATAGAATATGATCCCGTTCAAACCAACAAGGGCAGGAAGTGCTGAAAGACCGATTCCCACCTAAAATCCAAGCATATTGTCATATTATCCACAATCAGCCAACAACTTAGTAGTGCACAATACTGAAAAAGTAGTTCATGATTTGTTTGAAGCTTACTGTGAGTGCATAAGCATATTTCTTTTGAAATAGCTGTACGATGCTGACTTTCTTCATTTGATGAAGGGCTTTAGCAGATTTCTTTTACAAAATCCAAACATTTTATCATGTCATACAACAAATATTTCCAAGCAAACATTTGAACTATAGACTGATTAAAATCTGTTACCCTTATATCAGCTGCTTCCTGAGAGATATCGACAAAATTGTTAAGAAAATAATGCAAATTTTCTATTTAATCAAATTTGAGGGAGAAATAAATGAGAGAAGAAAAATAACTCAGAGAAAAGAGGGGTTGTGTTTTTTGCACTTTGGTATAAATAGACATTTTGTTTATGTAATTTATTTCTCCCTCAAATTTGATTAAATAGAAAATTTGCATTATTTTCTTAACAATTGGTATCAAGAGCTTGGTTGACAATTAGTCCACATTACGATAAAAATAAAAACGATCCTAAAAGAAAAAGTCAAATTTGAGTGGGAGAAATGGCTGCAGACAAAGGAGAAGTTAAACTTGAAAAATTCGATGGTAAAGATTTCGGATTTTGGAAAATGCAGATTGAAGATTATTTATACCAGAAAAAACTCTATCAACCTCTGGAAGAGAAAAAGCCAGATGGCATGCAAGAAGCAGAATGGAAGCTTTTAGATAGACAAGCACTCGGAGTTATTCGATTGACGTTATCACGCAATGTGGCGTTTAACATTGCAAAGGAAACCACAACGGCAGGTCTCATGAAAGCTCTCTCTAATATGTATGAGAAGCCATCAGCCTCCAATAAAGTTCATTTGATGAGGCGGTTGTTTAGTTTGAGGATATCGGAAGGTGGATCGGTAGCTCAACACCTTAATGAACTCAATTCTGACACAACCCAATTGAGTTCTGTTGAAATCAAATTTGATGATGAAGTATTAGCGTTAATACTTTTATCTTCCCTGCCAGATAGTTGGAATGCTACAGTCACAGCTGTGAGTAGCTCATCGGGAAATAACAAGTTGAAGTTTGATGACGTTCGTGATCTGGTTCTTAGTGAGGAGATTCGACGAAGAGAATCAGGTGAATCTTCATCCTCTTCAGTATTGCATACAGAGTCAAGAGGAAGAAATTTAATCAGAAGGAATGAACGCGGAAGATCAAACTATCGAGGACAATCCAGAGATAGGAGGTCAAAATCCAGGAATCCAAATAATTTCCAAAACTCAAAGACTGTGGAGTGTTGGAATTGTGGAAAGATTGGGCACTATAAAAATCAGTGCAAGGGAACACCAAAAGGCAAAGAAGTGAAGGCAGAGGCAAATGTCACTTCTACCGGAGAAGGTGATGATGCGTTGATATGCTCATTGGAGAGCAAAGAAGAGTCTTGGGTATTAGACTCTGGAGCATCGTTCCATGCTACTTCTAATAAAAACTTTTTTGAGAAGTATGTCCATAGAAACCTTGGACAGGTATACCTTGGTGATGACCAACCTTGTGATATTGTTGGTCAAGGTAATGTCAAAATTAAGTTAAATGGGTCAGCTTGGGAGCTGAAGGATGTCAAACATGTTCCCGACCTAAGAAAGAACTTGATCTCAGTTGGGCAGTTGGCTCGTGAAGGTTACACTATAATCTTTCAAGGTGATAATTGGAAGATTTCAAAGGGAGCAATGATAGTTGCTCATGGTAAAAAGAATGGTACTCTCTATTTGACAGCTGGAGCGTGTTATTCGATTGCAGTTGCAACAGAGAATGAAAATTCCAAGTTATGGCACCAAAGACTTGGTCACATGAGTGAGAAAGGAATGAAGATCATGCATTCAATTGGAAAACTCCCTAGTCTAAAATCTGTGAATTTAGACATGTGTGAAGAATGCATACTTGGAAAGCAGAAGAGGGTAAGCTTTCAGACATATGGAAGAACTCCAATGAAAGAAAAATTGGAGCTTGTTCATTCTGATGTGTGGGGACCAACAACCACCCAGTCTATAGGTGGAAAACAGTACTTTGTGACTTTTATTGATGATCACTCTAGGAAAGTATGGGTTTACTTTCTAAAATACAAGTCCGAAGTGTTTGAAGTTTTCAGGATATGGAAAGCTAGGGTTGAAAATGAAACAGGTCTGAAGATCAAAAGATTCAGGTCCGACAATGGCGGAGAATATGAGGACACCAAATTCAAGAAGTTTTGCTACGAGCATGGTATTAAGATGGAAAGAATTGTGCCAGGTACGCCTCAGCATAATGGCATAGATGAGCGGATGAACCGAACATTGACAGAAAGAGCCAGAAGCATTCGTATACAGTCAGGTCTACCAAAACAATTCTGGGCAGAAGTAGTCAATACAACAGCTTACTTGATCAATCGAGGACCATCAACCCCATTGGAGTACAAATTACCAGAGGAGGTATGGAGCGGCAAAGAGATCAAATTGTCGCACTTAAAGGTATTTGGTTGTGTAGCTTATGTGCACATTAGTGATCAAGGCAGAAATAAGCTTGATCCTAAATCAAAAGTTTGCACTTTTATCGGTTATGGCGAAGATGAGTTCGGATACCGCATTTGGGATGATGAAAGCAAAAAGATTATTCGTTCAAGAGATGTAATTTTCAATGAGAGAGTCATGTACAAAGATAGGCATAAAATTGAGAGTTATGAAACAAACCAAAAAGAATCTACATTCATTGATGAAGATTATGTCCCAGACAGTACGATGCAAGAGTACACTATCATAAGTACTCCGCAACAAGAAGAACAGACTGTACAGGGCAGTACATCGCAATCAAATGACATACAACAACCTTCTTGTCCAACTCCTACCCTAAGAAGGAGTACTCGACCACATGTGCCTAATAGAAAATATATGAATTATTTGTTATTAACTGATGATGGGGAACCAGAAGATTATTATGAAGCCTCCCAGACCAGAGATGCTAGCAAGTGGGGGCTTGCAATGAAAGATGAAATGCAATCCCTGATTTCAAACCAGACATGGGAACTAACTGAGTTACCCATAGGTAAGAAGGCCCTTCATAACAAATGGATATATCGAGCAAAAAAGGAGCACGATGATTCCAAGAGGTATAAGGCTCGACTAGTTGTCAAAGGTTTTCAACAGAAAGAAGGAGTTGATTATAATGAGATATTCGCTCCTGTTGTGAAACTCAATACCATTAGAACAGTGTTGAGTATTGTTGCAATTGAAGATCTTTATCTCGAGCAGTTAGATGTGAAGACTGCATTTCTTCATGGAGATCTTGATGAAGAAATATACATGCACCAGCCAGAAGGTTTTATAAAAAGTGGGAAAGAGCAGATGGTATGCAAAATTAATAAAAGTTTATACGGGCTAAAACAAGCCCCAAGACAATGGTACAAAAAGTTTGATAACTTCATGCACAAGGAAGATTTCCAGAAGTGCAACGCTGACCACTGTTGCTACTTCAAGAGATATCATCCAGTTATATCATCCTATTACTTTATGTTGATGATATGTTAATAGCAGGTTCTGATATGAATGATATTATAAAGTTGAAGCATCAATTGTCAAAGGAATTTGACATGAAGGACTTGGGTCCAGCAAAGAAGATTTTAGGAATGCAAATCACAAGAGATAAGCAGAGAGGCACTTTGCAGTTATCACAATCAGAGTACATCAAACGTGTTCTTCAGAGATTTAATATGGGTGATGCTAAGCCTGTTAGTACACCGTTGGCGAGTCATTTTCGTCTATCAAAGGATCAGTCCCCTCAGACAGATGAAGATAAAGAATATATGGCCAAGGTTCCTTATGCCTCGGCTATTGGAAGTTTGATGTATGCAATGGTTTGTACAAGACCAGATATTGGACATGCAGTGGGAGTTGTAAGCAGGTTTATGTCCAATCCAGGAAAAGTCCATTGGGAAGCTGTTAAATGGATTTTGAGGTATTTACGAGGTACAATTAATAAGTGTTTGTACTTTGGTAAAGGTGAATTGAAAATACAAGGTTACGTTGATGCAGACTTTGGCGGTGAAGTCGATAATAAAAAGAGCACAACGGGTTATGTATTTACAGTTGGAAATACAGCCGTAAGTTGGATGTCCCAACTACAAAAGATTGTTGCTTTATCCACTACAGAAGCTGAGTATGTGGCAGTGACCGAAGCTAGTAAAGAGATGATATGGCTTCAAGGTTTGTTAGATGAGCTGGGGTTCAAACAAGTGAATAATATTTTGTATAGCGATAGTCAGAGTGCTATACATTTAGCAAAGAATTTGGCGTTTCACTCAAGAACAAAGCACATCGGTATTCGTTATCACTTTATCAGGTCTCTTCTAGAAGATGAAGTGTTAACTCTTAAAAAGATTCTTGGCAGTAAGAATCCAGTAGACATGTTAACGAAAACAGTGACGATTGACAAGTTGAAATTGTGCTCAACATCAATTGGTCTTAAAATGACAGAAGACTAGTTGAGGTTCTACTCCTTGGTGTGAAGACAGATTGAAATCAGTCTTCAAGTGGGAGATTGTTGGCAGATAATTAAGAAACATAAAGAAAAAAAATAAATGGTTATTAAATAACCATGCATTACCATTGAAAATTAAAGGTGTTTCCAAATATAGGGAAAAATAACTAATGGTAATAAATATTGTAGGCTAAATTTTAAATGGCTTAGGTTGTTTTAGGAAAACTATAAATTGAGCATTTCCTTCATTTGTATGTAATAATTTCAAGAGAAAATCTGAAAGAAGAAAAATAACTCAGAGAAAAGAGGGGTTGTGTTTTTTGCACTTTGGTATAAATAGACATTTTGTTTATGTAATTTATTTCTCCCTCAAATTTGATTAAATAGAAAATTTGCATTATTTTCTTAACAAAAATCTCCCCTAAGACACAACAACGATGCTTCGAACTCCTTGTTTTTGCTCATCATCATCTGTCTTGAAACATATCTTAGATCATCATCTTAGAAAAGGTTTATGGTTACTGACAAAGGAAATGAATGAACATGCATTACCAGCCATCTAGGAGATTCTGGAATGAAGAATAAACCAACTATCTGCACAAGACCCGGGATAATACCTAGAACATTAAATTAAAACTGTCAGAAAATTTCCGGGATTGAAAGATCTGAACTTAGATACCTCAAGAACATAGGAAATACCAATCAGAGATAAGGTACACCAAGAGGTGACTTGTCCTATGAGAAATGCTGTTGATACTCCGACTGTTATCATTAACTGATCAAACAGGATTTTCAAAGGCAAGGTTATAAAATCGAAAGTGTAAAAATACAATTTTTATCTAAATGAAGACAAGAGCTTGTTATTTCAGTATCGATTATTTACCACATGGAGAATCACAAACCCTCCTCGAAGATCTTTGGGAGTAAATTCTGCTATATACACTGGAATCTGAGACAACATTATGATGCATGTATTGCAATTTCACAATATTTGTTTTATGATCAAAATTAAATGAAGTGCAGAATTTTCTACTTACAGCATATCCTGTAATGCCCGAAGTAACACCCAACATCAATCTACCCAAGTCGAGCAGCCTTGCACCCTTGCATCAGGATAATGGATTTCATAATAACTTCAATCAGACATTTTATTCAATTGAACTTTTGAAATTAAACCAAAGACATAAGAGAATGAAAAAAACCTGGCTTACTGATATGGCAGACCAGCCAAAGATGTAAACTACAGAAGTTAGTTGCAGTACCTGCCTTGCCAAAAGCAAAGCTTATTAAGAAATCAGATCAATCCGGAGTTGTAAAATCGTTAAATCAGAACATAATAGGATAAAACTTACATGTTTTCGACCTAGATAATCCGTTAACTTGCCACATACTACAGAACCTAATGCCCCTCCTATAGGAACCATTGATCCGAAGAGAGAATACTGGCAAACACATATACAAAAAAATTTAGAGAAGCAGAATATTTGAGGACTACTGAAGTACTGAACTAGTTAGGAGATATTTCAGAAAGTGTCAAAGGCCCTAAGCCATGCAATACTGTTATGTTTTGTATTACAAGAAAGACTATATATAAGTAGTTTATACCTGGGCTGTTGAAAGATCAAGTTTCATCATGATCTCAGCTTGCACCGGTGATGTATATCCCACCTGTTAGCCACTACTCCTATGAAAGATTGTACGTTTCACCAAAAATGATATTTCAGTCGTCCCAAAATAATAGGCCATTTTCTAAATTCCGTCAATAAAGTTTGAACATTCATATATTTTCACTATCAATACCACTTAATTTAGAATTCCAATGAGAGACTACATCGATATATATATATATATATGTTGGATTAACAACCCACATTTAGGGACATATTATAAACAAAAAGGGATATATATCTCTATTTCATAAAACAAAATTTGTACCAGGCCAATTGCATCAATTGATCTAATATAATCTTTTAGACTTATATATTAGTCATCCTCATTTTTACAATGTGTGATAATCCCCACTCACACGTAGGTTATTTTCATACCACAAAACCAAGTTCATAGGTCGTGTTGTGTCATGTCATGCCCTGCCCCCAGACAAGGGGACATGTAACAACGCGACTAACTGTTCATGGATCATGCCTATTGACACTGCTGGCAAGGAAATCCAATGCCATGCAGAGGAAGCGAATGATAATAAAACCATAATTGAAAAGATAACAAAACTTACTGTTGATAAGTATATTAGGTGACTCGTACTTCGTAGCTTTGTCCGCCCGATCGGGCGGACATTGCCCGGTCTGACCGGGCGGAAGAAGAAGAGGTGCCTGGCAAATTCGTTGAAGAAGCTGCTCTCGCGCCCGACCGGGCGAGCCTTCGCCCGACCGGGCGAGCCTTCGCCCGATCGGGCAGACCTTGCCCGGTCTGACCGGGCGGTGGGGGTTGGATACGTTGAAGCATTCGTATGGAGTTTTCTTCTCGCGCCCGATCGGGCAGACCTTGCCCGGTCTGACCGGGCGGAGAAGGAAAAATACGGAACGCGGATTTTGCGGTTTTAGGTTATCTTATTTTATTATCTTTTTGCCCAAGTATCTTTTAATTAGGGATTAATATAAAACCTCCCTAATATCAGTATTAGGGTGAAAAGAGATAGAGTGAAAGCCGTTCTTGAGAAATACAAGAATCATCTTTGTAATCTTTGCAGTTTATAGTGAAATCATTCGATCTCGGTGCCCGTGGACGTAGCTATCACATCGATAGTGAACCACGTAAATTCTTGGTGTTGTTCTTATTGTTTGCATTGAATTTCTTTATTGTTTTCTTGTTTGTTTACGACCTTTGCTTCCGCTGTCGCACAACAATTGGTATCAAGAGCTCAGGTTCAATCCTTGGAGAGTTTCTTGAAGATAACAATGGCAGGAGATTCAACAATAAGAATTGAGAAGTTTACCGGGAAAAATAGTTTCGGGCTATGGCAAATTAAGATGAAGGCTCTGTTAAAACAACAGCAGATATGGCGTCCGTTGGCTCCAAAGAGTACTACTTCGGAGTCAGGAGACGGACCGACTGACTCGCAGTTAGAAGTTATGGAAGAGAAGGTACACTCTACCATATTACTTAGTCTTGATGATCAAATCATCACGGAGGTTGCTGATCAGGAAACGGCGGCTGGATTGTGGCTGAAGCTGGAGTCATTGTATATGACTAAGTCGTTGACCAACAAATTATTACTGAAACAGCGGTTGTTTAGCCTCCGGATGCAGTCAGGTACTTCCTTACGGGAACATCTAGAAAAACTTAACTCTATTTTGCTTGATTTACGTAATTTAGATGTTAAAATTGATGATGAGGATGCTGCGTTGATTTTACTTGTATCTCTACCGTCTAGCTTTGAGAATTTTGTAGAGTCTTTTGTTGTTGGTAAGGATTCTATAACCTTAGAAGAAGTGAAGGCAGCACTTCATACTAGGGAACTCAGAATGAAAGCTACGAGTGATAATGGGGATAATGGTAGTGGGTTATTTGTTAAGTCCGGAAAGTCTAAAAAGAATAAGGGGTTTAACAAGGGGAACAATGCTGGGTCGGGTGCTGGAAACGGCAAGGATGGATCTAGTAAAACTACTACTAAAACATGTTATTACTGTAAAGAACCGGGTCACTTTAGGAATAATTGTCCGGTGAGGAAAAACAAGTCCCAGGCTGCTGTAGTTGAAGAGAAACCGAATGAGAGCTATAATTCAGAGGAAGATTTAGCATTAGTCAGTTCTGCTAGGTCTGATGATTTATCTGATAACTGGGTTCTAGATTCGGGGTGTTCGTTCCATATGTGTCCACGTCGAGATTGGTTTGATACATATGAACCTCGCAATGGGGGTATGGTTATAGTCGGTAACAATGCTCCATGTAAGGTCACAGGTATTGGTTCCATGAGGTTGAGGACTGTTGATGGGCGGAGGTTAACTTTGACTAATGTACGGCATGTTCCTGCTTTAGGAAAGAATCTGATTTCATTGGGTACCCTGGATGAATTGGGGTACAATGGTGTGTTTTCAGATGGGGAGTTGTGTATTTTCAGAGGTTCTGAGTTGGTACTTAAGGGTATCAAAAGGAACACCCTCTATGTTTTTGAGGGTGTTACACTGCCTAGTTCTGCGGTTTGCGCATCTGTATCTCACCAGGAGATGACTAAGATTTGGCACATGAGGCTTGGTCATATGGGGGAGAAGGGGATGCAGCTATTGTCCAAGAGGGGTCTTCTATCCGGGGTCAAGGTTGCCAACCTTGAATTTTGTGAGCATTGTGTGTTTGGTAAGAAACACAGGTCAAAGTTCAGCAAGGGTGCTCACATTACTGATGCAGTGCTCGATTACATCCATTCAGATTGCTGGGGTCCATCTAGAGTTGAAGGTATGGGAGGTTACCACTATTTTGTGTCATTTGTTGATGACAAGTCCCGATACACATGGCTTAGGTTGCTTAAGTCAAAGGATGAGGCCTTCAAAGTTTTCAAGCAATGGAAAGCTTTGGTGGAAAATCGACAAGGAAGGAAGATCAAGAAGCTACGAACGGACAATGGGCTAGAGTTTTGCAAAGACGAGTTTAATCAGTTCTGTGCAGATGAGGGTATAGGTCGGCATCATACTGTCAGGAAGACACCACAGCAGAACGGTGTAGCAGAACGGGTTAATCAGACACTGCTAGAGAGAGTTCGATGCATGCTCTCTAATGCAGGGCTTGGGAGGAGGTACTGGAGTGAAGCTGTGTTAACAGCTTGTTATGTCATTAATAGGGGTCCTCATTCTGGAATTGATTCCAAAATTCCGTTTGAGATCTGGAGTGGTAAGTTGCCTAATTTTTCGAATTTGAAGATTTTTGGTTGTGTTGCTTATTATCATGTTATTGAGGGTAAGCTGGATCCACGAGCCAAGAAGGGGTGTTTTGTTGGGTACGGGGATGGTGTGAAGGGGTTTAGAATTTTTTCACCTTCGGAGGGTCGGGTCATTCTTAGTAGGGATGTTACTTTCGATGAAAACACCATGTATTCAATTAAAAATGCAGAGATTTCAGATTTGAGAAGGGAAGGAGACAATTTATTACAGACAGATGGGGTACTTGAGGTACATCAGTCTACCATTGCTGATTTACCTCGGGTACAATATATTGATGATGATGCTGATGTTCCAGTGCCGGGTACTCCTGAACCTGAGATTACTCCTACTCGTTCTAACTCTGGGGATGAGGTGGAGCAATCTAATCAGGGGTCATCTAGTCAACCTGACACCATTCTTGAGATGCCTAAACGAGTTATCAAGAAGCCTGTTAGATTGATTGAAGAGATGGAGGGAAGAAATTGCTGTGTTGATGCGATGACAGGTTATGCATTGAGTGTAGCTGATGATGTAGAGTCATTTGAACCTGCCACATATAAACAAGCAATTAGTTGTAGTGAGTCTGCGCAATGGCTTGCCGCAATGGGTGAAGAGATGCAGTCCCTTTACAAGAACAGAGTGTGGGAACTGGTAAAGGTACCGGAAGGGAGGAAGCTTGTGGGTTGTAAATGGATTTACAAGAAGAAAGAAGGGTTGTCGGAAACTGAGCAAATACGTTTTAAGGCTAGGCTAGTTGCTAAGGGGTTCAGTCAGGTAGAAGGGGTTGACTTTGTTGAGATATTCTCACCTGTGGTTCGACATACTTCTATCCGTGTGTTATTGTCAATTGTAGCACATTTTGATCTTGAGCTGGAGCAGTTGGATGTTAAAACGGCCTTCCTTCATGGCGATTTGGAGGAGGAGATTCTGATGAAGCAGCCCGAAGGATTCGAAGCTCCTGGAAAGGAACACTATGCCTGCAGATTGCTAAAGTCATTGTATGGACTTAAGCAATCCCCCCGACAGTGGTACAAAAGGTTTGATTCTTTTATGGTTTCACAAGGTTTTGACAGGAATTCATATGATTGCTGTGTGTATCATAGTAAGCTGGATAATGGTTCCATGATTTATCTTTTGTTATATGTTGATGACATGTTGGTTGCCACAAAGAATAAATCTGATATTGCTAGATTAAAGGAGATGCTTAACTCGGAGTTTGACATGAAAGACTTGGGTGCAGCTAGGAAGATTTTGGGTATGGAGATCTACAGGGATCGGGCTAGAGGTAAGCTTTTCTTGACTCAGAAAAGCTACATTGAAAAGATTCTGTCTCGTTTTGGGATGGAAAAATCGAAGCCTATAAGTACGCCAACTACTGTTAGTTGTAAGTTGTCTTTGTCTATGTCACCTCAATCAGAGGAGGAGTTGTCTTATATGTCTAGAGTTCCATATGCAAACGCGGTTGGTTGTTTGATGTATGCTATGGTCTGTACTAGGCCGGATATTGCGCATGCTGTTAGTGTTGTAAGCAGGTTTATGGCTCGACCTGGGAGGGAACACTGGCAAGGGGTGAAAAGGATTTTTCGCTACCTGAGAGGGACAACTGATATTGGTCTTGTGTACGGGAATGGTAGGGAATGCTTGGTCACTGGGTACAGTGATTCTGATTATGCAGCTGATGTGGATACCAGGAGGTCTGTGACTGGTTATGTGTTCACTTTGGGTGGTTCTGTGGTTAGTTGGAAGTCTACATTGCAGTCATCAGTTACGTTGTCAACTACTGAAGCTGAGTATATGGCTTTAACTTCTGCAGCTAAGGAGTCTATTTGGCTCAAAGGCCTAGTAGGTGAACTGGGTATTGCACAGGATTTTGCTACAGTGTATTGTGATAGTCTAAGTGCGATTTGCTTAGCTAAAGATCAAGTACACCATGATCGGACGAAGCACATTGATGTCAGGTATCATTTCTTGCGTACTGACAAGAGGATTAAGGTGAAGAAGATTGGGACTGCTGACAACCCGGCTGATTTCTTCACTAAGCCTGTTCCGTTTAGCAAGTTTAAACATTGCTTAGACTTGCTAAATATTGATTACTACGTGATGTAGTAGGCCCTGAGGGGCGAAGTTGGGGAGCTCCTGGTGTAGGTGTGTTGGCATTAAGGTGGAGCTTGCCCGGGGCTTGTGATGCAGGTGGAGCATTATGAGTTGTTATACTTGGAGACGAGTATGTGATGGGTCTTGGTTGAAGACTTATCGGGATGTATGGCTTATGCATGAGTCTTGCATCGGGTTTGGCTTGAGATGTTTTTTTCACTATGTCTTGATGGGGTCGTTTGCTGACTACGAGTTCTCGTCAAGGTGGAGATTGTTGATAAGTATATTAGGTGACTCGTACTTCGTAGCTTTGTCCGCCCGATCGGGCGGACATTGCCCGGTCTGACCGGGCGGAAGAAGAAGAGGTGCCTGGCAAATTCGTTGAAGAAGCTGCTCTCGCGCCCGACCGGGCGAGCCTTCGCCCGACCGGGCGAGCCTTCGCCCGATCGGGCAGACCTTGCCCGGTCTGACCGGGCGGTGGGGGTTGGATACGTTGAAGCATTCGTATGGAGTTTTCTTCTCGCGCCCGATCGGGCAGACCTTGCCCGGTCTGACCGGGCGGAGAAGGAAAAATACGGAACGCGGATTTTGCGGTTTTAGGTTATCTTATTTTATTATCTTTTTGCCCAAGTATCTTTTAATTAGGGATTAATATAAAACCTCCCTAATATCAGTATTAGGGTGAAAAGAGATAGAGTGAAAGCCGTTCTTGAGAAATACAAGAATCATCTTTGTAATCTTTGCAGTTTATAGTGAAATCATTCGATCTCGGTGCCCGTGGACGTAGCTATCACATCGATAGTGAACCACGTAAATTCTTGGTGTTGTTCTTATTGTTTGCATTGAATTTCTTTATTGTTTTCTTGTTTGTTTACGACCTTTGCTTCCGCTGTCGCACAACACTTACAATAAAACCACAAGAAAATGATCCCAAAACTGCAATGAAAGCGGAGAGAAGCAGCATTGGAGTGATCAACGACAAGGTCGAATCCATTGCTGCTTCTGCTGGCTTCGCATCATCAGCTTCATCATCTATCTTATCATTACTATCAGCATGCTTCTGTAAGAGCTGTTTTCTTATTTCTTCCATCACTTTTTTCAGAGTCTGAAACTGATGTTCTGTTAATTTTTTTACTTATTACTTTTTTATTTTTTTATTTTAGTTATTTAGAAGAATTGGAAGTTACTAAATTTGGGGTATGAAATAATAAATTATTGATAGATGCTCCTCATCTGTTATAATTGTCTGGTGGACCACTGGAATACTGGATCTTTCTAACAAGTTAGGTGTTGTTTGTGGCTATAACTAACTAACTGTAACGCATTAGTCGCATTTGTTCACAATTATATCTTGTCCTCACATTGATGAACCCAATTCCGAAAAACTTATGATACAAGTAATCTGTAACAAGTATTGAAATCCCGGAAATACTAACTCTGATTTTTTTTTCAGTTGCAACGCTTCTTATTTCACATTTTTTAATGTGTTATGGATAATCACATATATCTCTAATTATCGATATGAATATTATATATATATATATATATATATATATATATAATAAAATTTTTGTTGTTATGAAAGTATAAATTACTTGAGACGAAATTAACAAGACTCATGACTATTATTATCCTCAAGTATAAATCATTAATAAGTGTTCAACAAATGAGCCTTTAACCACATACAAGCATAATTGAAAGATTGCATCCTAATTCATGATAGCCTAATTGGTGAAGGATATCGGAAAGATTAATATGTTCGTCGTATACCTCTTCATCTACAATGTGAGACAAATAGTCTCTAATAACTTGCGTAAAATAATCTTTTAAGTCATTATTAACAACTAGAGCTTAACAAATATGGAGAGATTGGAAGAGTTCCTTACCATTACTTATTGTTTTGTAATCAACCTTTGCATGTTTTTTTACATTCCCTTTTAAGTTTACAACACAAATTTGAACTATATATCCATATGTAATGATTAATAATGTATTTAAAGCTAGGACTGTGTCACATCATTGCCAAGCATCACTCATTGCCATATGAATTTCTTCAAGTGTTCTCCCCTTAGTCTCCGGCACCAATTTTGCCACAAATATTATCAGTAACACGCAAACACCCGCCAATACAAAGAAAGTTCCTACAGCAATGCAGATGATATTATCGCATGAGTGTTGAAAAGGCAAAAATGAGAGCTAAAGATCAAAGGGGATGGAACGAACGTTTACCTGAAGAACTCCATTGCATTGAAAAGTTAAATGTATAAGAAACAATCCATGATGATAGATTGCCTATTACAGAAACAATACTGCCTGCTGACCCTTTTATGTTCAAGGGGTATATCTGATTGTAACATTCACTGAATCAATAATTTCATCTATCCATTTATTACTAAATCGCGAAATCTTCATCTTGCTATCTTATGCACTTGAAAACTATAATTCAGAGCTGAAAGTAGTCATACCTCAGAAATAATAACAGCAGATCCTCCGCCTACGCCTATGGGATATAAAGCAACATAGGTCTGCAGAAACAAGGATCTTATCAGACTGAGTAAATTGCTCTTAATACAATTCAGTGGCTCTATACATATATATGCATGACTATATGCCCTATAACGTAATGGAAATTGTATCTGCGTTTGATATTGTGTGTAATGAATATAAGTTAAGCTTTGATTCATTGGTCAAAGAAAAAAACAACACTAGTGCAGCACTTTGATCAGTTCTGTTACCAATATGCCAATAAGCGCAATAAAAGGACTGAAACCGCCCAGCAATTGATGCTCCTGATTGAACAACAAACGATATCATATCATAAAGTCAATCATTTTGGTTAAACTCAGAAAAATTGTGGCAACAAAAATGTTAAGTAGTTAAACCTAACCTGAAACAGAAATGCAAGTCCCGTCAGTGAGCAACCTAAGAAAAGACCAGTTGCTGAAATCTGCAAGTTATGTTCTCTTGACCTTAATTTATGAAATATAGATTTTATGATGTATTAAAACTTGACTATTAGTTCATGCATTGTTCTAACCATCATAAGAGGGCGACTCCCAAATTTATCCATCGAAATTATAGCCAATGCCATACTTGGAAGCTGCAATAAAAAGATATTTTGTCACCTGCAATTCAGAGCAACTTCAATTACTATTACTTATAATTAGCAGTTGAAATTAATCAGAAATCAAGTACCTGACAAAAAGCCAGTATCGTAGTTCCCACTTTAGCTGAAAATCCTGCTCAACACCAATGATAGAATCAACTTTAAGGCATTAACTATTCTGTTTTAGAAACGGAACAGAGATTAAGAAGAACATGTCGAAAGTAAATGAAAATTTTAGTGAGAGAAGCATCAGAACTGAGGGAGAAATTTAAGAAAATAATATTATGGAGAAAGTTTTTATTTCGATATATTCCAAGAAGGTAAGTGGAATGTTAAATATGGGACGGAGGAAGTACTATTATGGAGAAGTTTGTGAAGTATGGAGCTATAAGGTGCTAACTGACCAGCTGATTCAAATATAGAGCTGGCATAGAAGATGATTCCGTTTAAACCAACAAAGGAACTGAGTATTGCAAGACCAATTCCCACCTAATATGAATGCATATTATCCTCAATTAGCTGACGAAGTGTTAAAACCCACAAAATATAAGTTCATAATTGATTTGTCTCAAGCTTACTGTGTGCGCATATGCAAATTTCCTCTGAAATAGTTGTATGATGCTAACTTTTTCCATTTGATGTAAGGCTCTAGCAGAGTCCTTCACAAAAATTCACAGACATTTCATCATGTCATACAAAAAAAATTTCCATGTAAATATTTGAACTATAGACCGTGGATTAAAATCTGTTACCCTTATATCATCTGCTTCCTGAGAGACATCAACAAAGCCTCCCCTAAAACACTGTAAGGCTGCTTCGAACTCCTTGTTTTTATTCATCATCAGCTGTTGTGAAACATATCTTAATCTTCATCTTATCAGTGGATAATGACAATTTTTACAGGAATTGGAAGGAACATGCCTTACCAGCCATCTAGGAGATTCTGGAATGAAGAATAAACCAACTATCTGTACAAGACTCGGAATAATTCCTGGAACATGACGATGTTCAAGCTATCAGAGAAGATTTTAGGTTGAAATAACTTAACTGAGGTACATGTATAAACACAGAAACTACCTATCAGAGCTAAAGTACGCCAAGAAATGACTAGTCCTATGAGATATGTTGCTGATATACCAACTGTTAGCATTAACTGAAACAGAATATAATAAGGCAAAGTTGCAAAGCAGGTGCAAGCATATATAAAAATTTAAATCATGTATGAATTACATTTGTAGAAAACTTGTTTCAGAATTAATCATTACCACATGGAGAATCACGAACCCTCCCCGAAGATCTTTGGGAGTAAATTCTGCTACATATACTGGAACCTGAGAAATCATTATGATGCATGACTCGCAAACTATATGACATTTGAGACATGATCAATATTAGATGGAAGGAAGAATTTCTTGCTTACAGCAAAGCCTGAAATGCTTGAAGTAAAACCCAGCATCCATCTACCTAGATCGAGCAGCCTTGGACCCTTTTATCAGAAGGAATGAATAATAGATTGATGAAATCACAGCTTCAAACTAGATTACTAATTAAATGTATAAAGTAAAGAGTTTCAAAAATTAATATAATTGAAAATTTATTAAACATTCAAGAGAATGAAGAACCTGGCTTAGTGATATGACAGACCAGCCAAATATGAGAAGTAGGTTAGTTAGTTGTAGTACCTGCCTTATCAAATGCCAAGTAAAGTGATCAAGAAAACAGAATCAATCCAGGGTTGTAACATCGCGAAATCAGAACATAGTATAAGATAAAACTTACATGTCTTCGGCCTAGATAATCTGTTAACTTGCCACATACTATAGAACCCAATGCCGCTCCAATAGGAACCATTGATCCAAAGAGAGAGTACTAGACAAATACATACAAACATATATATAGAAGCAGAACATTAACAATAATACTTTGTGATTTGGAGTATATTGAACATGAAATGCTTAAGTTGTCTATTGAAAGAAAGAGTCAAAAGTAGTCATACTTGTGCTGTTGAAAGATCAAGTTCTTCCATAATCTCAGCTTGCACAGGTGATGTATATTCCACCTGTTAGAATATGCCTTGAATCTATTTGTCCTCTATGAACAAATAAAGTTAATATGGTTTCATGTTTGGGTCTATGGTCGGACCTAAGTCATTAACCCTTAACCCACCCTAATTTTACATTTTAGTGAATCATGTAATGTATGTGTCTGAAAAATTAGTGTACAAATAAAGTTAATATTTAGTCAAATTATGAAATAAAATCACATTATATCATATCGTAAAAATTCAGATCAAATTATGTAAACTGACATGGTGTTATAGGCACCTAACTATACTGACAACTTATATATACTAGTACATACAGAGTATATAATAACTAATACGAAGTATAAGGCAATATATATTTTATACTTCCTCCGTTCCTTAATAGATGACACGTTTCTTTTATCACGTTTGCCAACGTACAATTTTCACGAGATATATCTCCCATTATCATCATTGTAAAATTATAAAAAGTGGATATTAATAAAATATACATTAAGACGATTCAAACAAGATCCCACATGATTATGTTTTATCGTAGCTACAAATCACAAAAGCTAGTCAAAGTGTTGTTTGTGAATAGTGCAAAAGTCAAACCGTGTCATCTAAAAAGGAACGGAGGAAGTATATAATAATATAATAGCTTTAAATTAGTTAGGGGGGTCAGGCCTCTATGAAGCTCAATATGAAGATCCTCCCAAGTTTGGACTTTGGAGCAATAGAAAGGATTAATTTGGTCTAGTTTGATGTTTGTCATAGTTGAATAAACTTGTATATTTACACTAATGAATTAAAAAAAAAAAAAAAAAGGAGCTTGTTAGATTTTCCTAAATACGTATTTTCCAAATATTTAACTTTCATCACTTGTAATGGAGTAGTATTTAGTATTTCCTTCATCCCAATAAAATTGCCTCATATTCAATTTTTGGTTGTTCAAATGTATTTGCGTAATACCATAAATGACATAAGGGGCCACTATTATTAGTATTATACACTCACTTATACTACATTATTGAGATGATAACTCTAGCCCCATTATTTTTAAATTATCAATTATTTCTAACAAACACAAATAATTATTTCTAGTTTGATCTAATAAAGTATTTGTATCATTCTTATAACTTATTAATAAGTTGTTGAAATAGGTTGAGAACTAAGGTAAAATTTCGCTGGGATATTTTAATTTATTTCAACTCACATGTGGGTTATTCCTTTTTTTTACTACAATATCAAGCCCAACACGACCGACATCTCATCGGTCGTGCCTAAAGACACTGTTGGCACAATGGCACTAGTTAAATAAGAGCATGGTTGCAAAGATAGCAGAACTTTCAATGAAACCGAAGGAAAAAGAACCCAACACTGCAATGAAGGCGGAGAAAACCAACATTGGAGTAATCGATGACGACGACAACGGCGTCGTTTCAACCATTGCTCCTGCTGCTGGCCCCACATCATCATGTAGCTTACCATTACCATTATTGTTAGAATTCAGTAGAAGTTCTACTCTTAGTTCTTCCTTCATTTTTTTTTCCAGCTTCACTTAGCTAGACTACTGATGAAATATTTTTTTTAATTTTTGTAAAATAAAGTATCGAATAATAGTATATTTCTTTATTACAATGAGAATTCCTTTAAGTAATGGACCTCCTTATATTATATGGGGTGGACCAAGGTATCAATCATAAATTCATAGCAAGTCACGGAGTAGTTAGTTTGGGTGGCTAGTAAGTGTAGTAGCAATGTAGCATCACAATTTGGAAATTTACACATGTCAATAATGAATGTCAATTTCACAGATTTCTCATCTTTAATTTGTTTTCAATTTTCCTTTTCAAATTTCTTGCATAATATTGTATGTTGTTTGGTTGCTCTTTTTCTAGAGAATCCCCAATTGTGATTAAATTGTACGGAGTAATATTAATCTCTTTGTTTCTTTTTTTTTTTTTTATTTGGAATCATGTAAGACGAGACAATAAGACAATCTTGTTGCATTTTATTTAATTTGTTTCGTTCCAATAAGTAGTTTATAATTTTCAATTGTTGTGTTTTTTACTAATCTGCAAGGACTGCAACTAGGGGTGTACACCGATCCAAAACCGGACCGGACCTGGACCGGACCTGTTTGGACCGGGGACCTGAATTGGGTAATTATGAGGACCGGGGACCGGACCTGAATTAACAGGTCCGGTTCCGGGCCAAACCTGAAAAATCAGGTCTGGTCCGGGTTTGGACCTGAATGGACCTGTTTTGTGTCTTTTTCGTTTTTTTTTTTTTTTAATACAAAACCTGTTGGACCTGCATATGGACCTGTTTTGTGATTTTTAGACCTGTTGCATAATTTAATAATTACATACAAACCAAAATTATCAATTACAAAACTACATAAAGTCTATAAAGTCCCGATTCTCAAACACCAAAAATACAAATGAGTCCACCGAAAATACAAATAAGTCCACGAAAACTCAGTTTCAATTTTTCAGAGTTTGGTTTTCTTTTTTTTTTTTTTTTTTTAATTACGATTTTCCCGGGTTTCAGGTCCGGACCTGAAAACCCCGGGTTTGGACCGAGTCCGGACCGGGACCGGGAACCTGGATTTTTAAGAACCGGGACCGGACCTGAATCAACAGGTCCGGGTCTGGTCCGGTCCGGTTCAGGTCGTTCAGGTCCGATTTCAGGTCCGAGCCAATTTTTGTACACCCCTAACTGCAACTATTGGTATTTATGTTCAAAGTAATGCTTTAACGAATACGCACAACAAAATTGGGAAGAACTTTTAAGAACAAAGGGAGAATGAGAATATTTGAAATCAGGAAAATAATATATATATATATACAGGCTAGCAAAAGGGGTGGTGAAATGATTTGACAAAGTTAAAAAGGATGAGGATTAAATTTAAAAATTAGTTAAGTACAAACTTACACTTGTTTCTTTTTCTTCTGTACGGTATAATATAGTATGTCACTTAAATTCTTTTGAAAACATTTGACATATTACCTCCGTTTTAATTTATTTGCAACATTTATCACAAAACTATAAATTATTTGTAATAAATGGTTTTCTTTCCTATTTACTTGTCATCTCTTTCAATCTCTCTCCTTACCTGCAACTTTATTTTTCTCTCTTCATTTACCACTCAGGCATGTTTGGTATGATATAGCTATGAAGGTAATTGTTAGGTGTGGAAGCAATTGTTAGCTGTGAATATAAATAATTAAGGTATGAGTGTTCGGTAAATTAGTGGTTGACTAGCTGTTACATATAAAAATCAATATTTTTTTTCTTAAAACTATAGATTGAACTTTCAACAACTACCTCTAAATTTTCAAAAGCTAATATTTCTAGCTTTTGATCCTCCACCCTCTAAATATTATCACTGTAACATGTAATCGCATTTGTCTCAACATATTTTCAATTAAGCAAACACACAAGACACCCCATTTCCCTTCGTATCATAGAAATCATAGTACCTCCATATTTTTTTTAAATGAAAGATTTTGATCTCCATTTTTTTTTTTTAAGGAAAAAAATTTTGATCTTTAGTATCATTCACCTAATCCTCTTTTACTATTATTATTGATTTTTTTTATTTTAAGAACACTATTATTATTGATTTATACTTCATATCTCTCAATCTCCTTACTTTTAAGAGATTATAAACGGATAAACCTGCACTAAATTAACCTGTGAGAAGTCCCGTCCCACTGTATACCGTGAGTCGACCCATCAAATTATATATGGACGTATGGTCGGTCTTGCCTTCCCGTGAAACAATACCGGAGCAAGCAAGCAAGCATGAAAGCAGGAATACAAGGAAAAGCAAAACGGATAGAAATCTCCTCCCTCCACATGTCAGGCCTCCAGCTGCTTGCTCCCCTGTTAGAGTAGGAGAGAGAAATTGTGGTGATTGTGAAAATCGTGATGAGTAACCGATTAATTCAAAAACTCCCAATTAAGGTAATGGATTCATCTTTATCCCTAACAATATTGTTGATAATCGCCCAACTTTGGAGGCATAATAATTGTGGACAAATGCGTCAAATATATGGGTTTTTTCAACAACCTACAATAGAAAACAACCCCATTAAATTTCGCAAATAAATTTGTCTCTGCCAATTTTCTGTTTTCTTTCTTCTATCTATGGATGATTCTGAAGATGCAAATGTTGGGTATGATTTTTTTTCCAACTTATTTGGTCCTAAATTTGATTTTTTTTTTTTTTGCAAATTTTGTTGATGGGTTTTTGCTGAATTTTAGGTTTTAAATTTTGCAGATTTTTGTGATTATCATGCATATTTATAAGATTCTGAAAATTGGATATTTTTTAGGTTGGCTTTTTAACATGGTTTGAGTAAAGATGATGTATGTTTATGTACATTCATGAATTTGTATAAGAGGTACCAATGACATGCACTGAAGAAGATTTAATGAATTTTTTCTGGATTTCTGTAAATGTAGGTTGTTTAAGAAAGTAGATATGGTTGTCCTCATGTCCTGATGCTTTGTTGGATTGTACTAGTTAATGTCTTCAGTGAGATAGCATCCCGGGGTGGTTACATTGTGTCGAACCCTTGTTGCCTCAAACTCTTATACTTGGCGACAGTATGTTTAGTGTAAGGCTAGCTTAGTTGTACTCTAGACAAGTTTGAGACAGGATGGAGTGATAAAATTGGCGATTGTGTCATTGTGTGTTTTGTGTAAGGCTAGCTTAGTTATAGTCTAGACATGGTTGCTTGAGACTGGAATACAGGATGGAAGTAATAAATTGGCGACAATGTGTTATGTGTAAGGCTAGTCTAGCTGTGTTCTAGACATGGATGAGACAGGATGGGGGTAATAGAATCACTAACTGTGTTTTGTGTAAGGCGAGCTTAGTTGTACTCTAGACTAGGTTGAGACGGGATGGGGGTGATAAAATCCTCGGTCCACCTCACTGTGTTGTCCTTAGTTCTTGGGGCCTAATAAGGTTTTGATTACTTTGAGCTTGTGTGTGTTAGTTTATTTTTGCATTGCTATTTTTCTTCTTTGCTCCTGTGTACAATGTATGACTTGATACATTTTATCAGGTGAGGAAGGTTAATGATGTTGGTACCTCTTGATATATGATAGAGCACAATCTAATCAGGTTATCTATTTGGTACAATCCGGTCTTTTGCCTTTTGTTTACAAACAAGATTTATATTTGGCTGAGAATTGAAAATAAGTTACAGATGCTCTACATGAGTACTTCTGTACCTACTTTGGTTCTTTGAGAGCAAAGGCCATCGATTCATGGATTACTATTATAATCTTTTTTAGGTGAACATTTGCTGAATGATTTTATTCTCAGGGGACAAGAATAGTAAAATTCAGATTATATTCCTAATATATATTATGATTACTGGATGTAATTCGCAGATGGCCTTTTATTTTCTTCTTACCCCTCTTTCTGGCTGCAATTTGTCATTACATCTCTTTTAAATCTATTACTTTGGCAGAATAGTTGTGTTGTATCCATAATCATGTGCCGGTGGGTCAGCCTCTAGATTAATTTGTTTGATTATGTCAATTAACATGACTTGTTTAAAGACTTCTACTAACACAATTGAAAAGGTGAAATTAGGACCTCTCCCACTTCTCCCCTTCACATACTTGAGTCTTTGACCTTAAAAATAGGCCCATTAGGGTTCAACTGTTTGTTTCACTGCGTGAGTCGTATTGCACATTCTTCTATTGAGCTTGGTTTTTAATTGCTTACAATTCCATAAATCTTGTGTCGCTTTTTTTTTTATTTTTTTTATTTTACCTTTGTCTTTTAAAAATGATTTCACTCATAAACTTTTGTGACTGTGTTTTCCATTTAAGTCTTTGTGTGATATGAGTTGACGTGAATGTAAAATTTGGCTTTTGTACATTAAGTTTTCAACTTCTTTTGAAACTAGCCCCTAACTTTGCCTGACCTTCGAAGACATTTGATATTTTTCTCAGAGTCCATGTATACACAGTACACAGACTTTGATATTTTTCCTAAATATTTGGTTTGTGCTACTGGATTTTATGTTTGTGCTGTTTTGTCAATTGGAATTATTGTTTCTGTTTTTGTTCTTGATCTATGTCTAGGAATTTCTTTTCTAACCTTTCTCTAAATTGATGTCTCTCTTTGTTTTCCACACTTTTAGCTTGGTTAGCAAGGTTGCTAAGAAAGTGCCAGCAGTGAAGCCTCTTGTAAGAAGCAGGACTTTAAATTCCTTGTTTATACCTTCTGGTCAAGGTAGCATCAATCTCTTTCCCGCATAAATTCATAACATATATTTATTTCCTGGTATCATATGTAATATCCTGTTGTGATGTGATTGGCATTTAAATACAGCTTTGAGACCCTTAGATATACAGGACCTAAATGATGGTGATTTGCCCAGAGGAGAACGGGAAACGGGTAAAAATAAATTGGATTCTGAAGGAGATTCACCAACAAAGGCTCCAGCTATCTGTTTACCTTCCAAACCTCAATTTCGATGGAAATCCCTTTTTAAAACATGGAGAAAAAAATCAACCAAACACTTATCAAGTAAAGCTTCTGTAAGAAAGATACGCAATATAGTGGGAAAAGGTGGAGACGATGAGCCAGTCCCAAATGTAAACGCTGATATGTACAAGATGAAGGCTTCTTGGATGGTCTTCTCATTCTCTGAACTTCAAAAGGCAACTGACAACTTCAGCCAAGGTCTTTGCCTTATTTAACACTTATAATCATTAAAAATGATTATACATCCCTCAAAAAAAAAAAAAAAAATAAATAAATAAATAAATTATAATACAAGGAACTTGAAGTACTTGATTAAAACTTCGAGAAGTTATGTGCTTGTTATATACTTATACTTTCACATGTTTTGCCATGACCATGCAGATAATTTGATTGGAAAAGGTGGCTTTGCAGAAGTTTACAAGGGATGTTTAAAAGGAGGACAGCTGGTTGCCGTCAAACGCTTAACCACATTAACACATGAAGAAAGGATTACTAGCTTTCTTTCCGAGCTTGGTATCATAGCCCATGTGGATCATCCTAATACAGCCAAGTTAATTGGCTATGGAGTAGAACGGGGACTTTACATTGTTTTACAATTGTCTTCACTCGGGAGCCTGGGGTCTCTTCTTCATGGTTTGTGAGAATTTCCTATTCTTAAAACACAATGGTCAAAGATCTTTATAAAGATTTCTCCTATATAATTTCCTTTCCTGCTCTAGCAGGTTCAAGGGAAATCTTAGAATGGAGATTAAGGTATAAAATTGCTTTGGGGACAGCTGATGGTCTTTTGTATCTTCATGAGGGCTGTCAAAGGCGAATTATTCACAGAGACATCAAAGCTGATAATATATTGCTTACAGAGAACTATGAGGCTCAGGTATTTTGTGGACTCCAAATCTGAGATGATTGGTTGCCATAATCATCTCTCATTATCAAATATGCCGCTGTTTGAGATAAATGAATAATCGTCTCCTTGTTTATGCCGGTATAATAAATTGATAATTTGTCTTATATGCTTCTATCCAGATATGTGATTTTGGACTTGCTAAATGGTTGCCAAGACAATGGACTCATCATAACATATCCAAATTCGAAGGCACTTTTGGGTATGTGAGTTCAAGATCCCAGTTGACAATGTCCATTTTCCTCGTCCAATATTTACTCTCTTTGATGGCAGTTATTTTGCTCCTGAATACTTCATGCATGGGATAGTGGATGAGAAAACTGATGTCTATTCATTTGGGGTGCTGCTTTTGGAGCTTATCACGGGGCGGAGAGCTTTCAATAGTGAAAGTCAAAGCATTATGCTATGGGTTTGTTTCTACTTTTACCACCTCTTTGTCCAATGCTTCATAGTTCATACTGTACCTTATACTCCCTCTATTTCAAATTAATGGTTACACTTTACCATTCATCAAGTCTGAAGAAATGAAGGGAAAGTAAGAGAGAAAAAATGAAAAAAGTGGAATTTAGTAAAAAAAAAATAGTAGTGGATGCACGTGTAATGGTATGTATATAAAGGGTATGGAAATTAATGTAATAATGTGGGTCACATGTCTTAAAATGTAAAGGTAAAGTGTAACCATTTTTTGAAACAGCTTAAACAGGAAAATGCATCCATTATTTTGAAACTGTAATGATAGAGTGTACACTATAACTTTGGATATTATTACTCTTTCTGCTCAGGCAAAACCTTTGCTCGATGAGCATGACCTGAAGATGCTTGTTGATCCTATGCTTGGTGTAGATTATGATAAAGAGGAGTTGGATTGTATGGTCTTGACTGCTGCCTTATGTACACAACAATCTCCAGTGTTACGGCCCCGAATGAATCAGGCACGTAAAATTTTATTAATTGTCTGGTTTGGCCACATGATTGGTTTGTCTTCCATAAGAGAATACAAGGACCTGATGGTTGTTTAGATTAGCTCTTCTATTTCTCACTGCCTGCTCTATTGGATGACTATTATGATTTATTTCACAATGTACTAGCTGTTGTGAATTGTGATTGTGACATACGAAGCAGATTTCCTTGCGATGACTGCTGTTGTGAAATTTGCTTGATTCATCTAAGTTTGTTCTGACTGAAGAATTGTCTGATTAATATTGGGGCACCCTAATTTCTTTCGGTGATGATTTAAGTAATCAAATTAAGCATGGCTAGATTAGCAAATTTTACCATGTATGGCAAGATTATGGGGGCACCCTAACTCCTCCCATCTTGTTACTATGTTTATATCCTAACAGCATTCAACATGGCAAGATTAGCAAATTTTACCATTTATGTTCTTGTGATTATAATGAATCTAAAGTTGAACTTAATTCCATGGTATGTGCATTGCGATTGTGAATTGGGTCATGCAGAATGTCCTTATTTAGACAATTCATATCCTTCTCTAGTTATTTTTTCATTGGCTTTTCTAATTTCTTTGTTCATATCAGGTTGCTATTCTGCTTAAAGGGGACAATTACTATCCCAAGAAATCGATAGGTACCCAAACACAGACTCTGCGTAGAACATATTCAGAAGAGCTCTTGGATGCCAAAGAATACAACTCAACGAAGAAACTTAATACCCTGCAACGCCATAGACAGGTTGCCTTTGCTTCCATAGAATGACAAAAACCGGAGTGATGATCAGGTACCATAACTTGTAATAATTGAACTAAAAAAAGTTTGGTTGGAGGTTCAGAATCCAGGAAGTATGTACTCATTACTCAGCCATCAAATTTTAGTTAAATTGGGAAATGATGGCTCGATATTATAGGAAATCTTAATGATTTCTATCCCTTTTTTTCATTTTTTTTTTCCTTGATCGTTGTTGTGTATTGTTCTGTTGTTCATGTTCACCTCAGTTACTGAAACTGAAAGTGTATATATCAGAGAATTGTGAAGAGAGCATGAATACAAATTCTTATTAAAAATTCAAATTCTGCTCCCAAATAATAACTACCTCCTTTCTCTTTAGTTATCATTATTTTCCTATTTAGGTAATCATAAAATACTTGTGAAGTTTCTGATATGCTTAAACTTTACATCATGTCTGAATTCTGATGCAGACTTGTAGAGTATATTTATACAGTTAATAGCGTTTTACCTAATTATAGATTTATAGCAATGTAAAATTTTAATTTTTCTGTCGTGGTAATCATTCCATAAGACTAAGCAATGTAAACCGGAGAGATGTTTCCTCCAAACAAATGTTACGGAGTATGAAACAATTATCTTATTTTCATAACTCGTACATTTCATATTTGTAGTTACGGGAGAGATAAAGACAAAAATAAGGACATAGTCGGGAATTATGTAGGGCGATTTGAGCTATGTTGGGTGTTATTTAACAACCCCAAATTAATATTCCTCCCTTCCTCCCATGTAGAAATACTACGTATACAAAGTATATTGACATATAATGCGAAAATTATGGATACCCGGTCTCGATCACAAGTTTTCCCCCTCCTTAGGAAACATGTAAAATTCATCAGCATATGCTTCCCTAGTTCCCCTTGGCATTAATTACACAAATTATTCTTCAGAATCACATAAATGCAATCTGAGAGTTGTGGTTGGCTTCTAAAGGGACGCAACTTTTGTAGTATTGCCAGAAGAAATAAAAACTGTGAAGCCGAATAGTTCGTTTGTTAGTTTGTGACATGTAAAATAGAGTCCATATATTAATAGCCATAATTTTGATTTTTCGGCCTGAAATTGAAGCCTGTTAATTGAGATTGGGACCCATTTTAGGCCCAAGGATTATTAGGCGTAATCATCATCCCAAATTTAGGAATAAAGTACAAATTGTCATGTTGGATACTTGGATGTAATTAGCTTAGGGTAATTCAAGTGATTCATGTCATTATCTTGTGGGGCATATTACCTTGATTTTTTTCTTCTTTTGAAAGTTTAATTATGAAAAGAGTTACGCTAAATGGAAAATTAATTAAAGGAAAAATTGTCCGGAATAATCCCATTTTTGGGGCGTCTGTTAAAAATAATCTCAACTTTGAGTTATTTTTAAATAATCCCACCTTTGATATCGATCCGCTCAAAATGGTCCCAACCGGTCATGTGACACGTGTCGGCCTGTGATTTGTCAAAACAATATAAATAAAATAAAATAAATTTAAAAAAAGTTAAAAAAATTTTAAAAGAAAAAATAAATAAAATTAATTATTTAAAAACCACCACCAGCCCAAGTCTTCCCTACCGCCCCTGACCCCCACTCTCACCAGCTCCAGTCACCCAGACCCCCAACCCCAGCGCCGGCGACGGCGGCGCGCCTGAACCCCCTCCTTTAAACCACCAAACACCTTCGAAAAATAAATAAAAAATCACCCCCCACTAGCCTAACCACCTATCACGACAGCCCACTCCCACCAGCCCAAACGCCTGCCGGTCCCTCAGCGCCGGATTGGAGCGACGTGTCGTGCTGCTCCGACCGTCATACCCCTCCCCTTGAACGCGCCGACCGCCGTATCCCTCTCCCTAAACCACCAAACACCTTTGAAACCTTTCCCCGTCCCGATCCCTACCTCATTACCCCGCCACGTTTTCGGCCCTCTCCTCTTCCCTTGTCCCTTTTCCGGCCCATAAAATCATCTCGTCATCTCCGTCCCGATCCCGGCCCCTCCCTTTGCCTCGATTTCAGCCGCCCAGACCACCTATAGGCGTTCAGCCTCGATTTCGGTCACTTAGACCACCCACAGTCGTTCGGCCTCTGTCACTCTCCCTTGCCTCAATTTCTGCTGCCCAAACCACCTACAATAGCGACGACGCAAGCTCCAATCTGATGGTTGCTGCAATTTCGGCGATCAAGTATTGCGGTGGCTAGGGCTGGTAAGGGGTGCCTGGCTGACTTTAAAATTTTAGACAAATTGTACGGTGACATGTGTACTTTAAACTCAAAAAACAAAAAAAAAGAAAAAACAAATAAAATCCTTTTTAACAGGTAACCGGTCATTTGGGACCATTAGGAGCAGATTGGGGTTAAAGGTGGGATTATTTTTAGCGGACGCCCCAAAGGTGGGATTATTCCGGACAATTTTTCCTTAATTAAACTGTGAATTAAGGGGTTTTTTATTCACAAAATATAATGTACTAATATAGCCATATAATGATATAAGTATGAGACACTCCTTGTTGATCTTTATTATAACTTATTTGAATGTATTCACCCATATATATCTAAACTTGTTTTTCTTGAATCAATAAAATAAAGTAAACAAAACATGGTCTAACAACTTATTTGAAATTTAAACATTTAATTAAATGGTAAATAGTTAAAAACATCTAATTCTCATGGTAACAAATTACTGAAAAACTTGTGCAATGCACAAATTAAATACTCCCTCCGTTAATTTTTATTTGCAACTTTGGGGGGTTTTGCGGTTCACGAGGCAAAATTTAAGGGGCAAACATTAGTGGGAGTAAATGAAAGTAATTAAAGTGTTTGGAGAGAGAAAGTTGGCCCACCCACTAGCAAATGAAAGTGATTAAAGTGTTTGGAAAGAGAAAGTTGGCCCACCCACTAGTAAAATTATTAAAATCAGAATTTTTAATTAAGGGTAAATTTGTAATTTTCAGGGTTTTTGTGTACTAAAAATAGAAATAAAATAGAAAGTTGCACATAATGGTTAGCGGACTAAAATGGCAAAAGTTGCAAATAAAAATTTAACGGAGGGAGTAGAAAATTTACTACTTTTTTTTTTTTTTGAAAGAAACGAATGGCGTGCCTTATATTAATAGATTATCCATCAATACATATGGGGAGGCCTCACAGGGACTATGATTATCCCAAACTTGTTCAAAACCAAAAGACACAATGCACAACTACTTAGGCCTTTGTTCTTTGGACATGTTCCAATTCTGTCAAGCTCAATTTATTATTATTATTATTATTATTATTATTATTATTATTATTATTATTATTATTATTCGGCTTAGCTCATTTCAGTTTAGTTCAGTTCATTCTAATTCAACTCAAAAAAATAGGGTCTTAATCCATACTAAAATAGAGCTATAATATACCATACGATCATAACTTTAATGCTAATTTTGATATCCCTTAATTGACAAACAATATCTAGAAATATTTTGCAATAAATGAAGCAATATACTTTCTCTGTTTTATTTTTTTTAATTACAATTCACTTTCACAGCACGTACTTCAAGGAAGAAATTAGGTAATGTAAACGGACAAACTAATCAAATAGTTCATTCATGTTCACCTCTTATGCATGCTATCCCCTAATTGACAAACAATACCTAAAAATATTTTGCAATAAATGAAGCAAAATAGTACTCATAGTCTCATAGATGATAAATTTTCGAAGAAAAAATGAGTAATTATTGAACTAGGCAAATGGACCATGGCATATGCCATATGATATGGTATAAATAAAAATAAAATCGTAAAGATTAATTAGTTGGAAGTTGGTACACGTCAATGAAGATTGAAGAAGGGGTAGTAACTACGAGTAGTAAGTAATTTGGTTTACAAACTTGTATGTGATGTTGTTTGCTTGAGCATCTTTAATTTTATTTGTTTAAGATATTCTCATTCCCTAATATCCTACCGTGACGTATTTCTCTTTTTGTTTTTATTTGTGGTGCTGGCCCTGCTGGGACTTCGTCTTCCTTGCTACGAGCCCATTTTCCCCATGTTTCGCTAACTCGTCTATGTTGGTATATTATTTTATTTACTTTCTTCGTTTTTATATTCTAACAACAGTTTGACTTTTACTCTATATTATGAGTAGTTATATAAAATACTTTGTACTTCATATTTAATTCTTGCTTATAGTCTAAAATTTAAATATTTATACTTTTATAATCACTACACATGATTCCATCACTTTTCTCTCTTGTCATTATCGTTCAACTAAAAAATTCTATGCAAGGCTTACCTTCTAATGTCATCTCGTTAAATTTTACTAGCAGCTTTTTGGGGTGAGAGTTCGCTTATCTTTTCTCCTCTCTTTTGATGACTCATAAAAGATACTCCCTCCGTCCCATAATACATGAGACGTTGGATTTTTTTATTTTTTTTTACTATTCATGCATTAGATTTGACCATAATTTTTTACTAAGATAATAAAAATATATTTTATCATAAAATATGTTGTTAGATAGATATTAATATAAAGTTTCATAATATAATTTTTAAAGTAATTTTCATTAATATTTAATTATATAAAAATAAAGTCAAATTAGTGCATTGGCATGTGTGCAATATTTGACTGTGTCATGTATTATGACAGAGGGAGCAAGTTGGTTTAAATATTGTTCATTTCATAGTAATATCATGTTCATTATTAATATTTGTTATATTCATTTTTATTAATTTGGTCTGGTGTCCATGCGTACAACGTTCTTTATCAGAAAAGATAATGTACATTATATTTGTTTATAATATACAATTATTTATTAACTTTATGTTATTTCCATATGTACATTATTATATCATATAATGATATTTTTTGAATCTTTTAATAAATTATTTTAAATGTCCATGTTCTTTGATGATAAGTTTAATGTACTTCTATAGTCACATAATATTCATTGTTTAATGGTTAATTAATGTATTGTTCATTATATGATAGTATCATGTTCTTTATCAATAACATGGAGGTCCTTATTAATATTATGGATGCTCTTTAGATCTAAATGTCCATCATTGTCCCAAAAACTTCTCATTAACCTTCATCATATGAAAGGTAGCTTAGTTTTATTTTCTGTTCTATTTGTCTTCCGTTTTCTTTCGTAGTTTGTTTAGCTTTCTTGTTCTTTTGGGACTTGCCCCTCGTGTGCACCAAAAAAACATATGAAAGGTGATAACACTATTAAGATTCTATTCTGTTCACCTTATTTCACTTATTATAATTTTTAATAACTTTTAATAAGATAAGACATGGGTCAATTAAATTCTAATAGGTGTTATCAATACAGTCTAATAAAGATTGAGTTCACATATATTAAGATAAGATAAGGGTCAGGGCTAATAAGGGTTTTTTTTTTTTAATTTATATATATATATATATATATATATATATATATATATATATATATATA